AAAAAAAAAAAAAAAAGGAGTAGTCCTTGCCAGGTAGCTCAGTTGATTGGAGTGTTGTCCCAATAGGCCAAGGCTGCGGGGTTCGGTTCCCCAGTCAGGGCGCATACAAGAAGCCACCAATGAATACATGAATAAGTGGAAAAACGAAAGGATGTGCCTCCCCCACCCCGCTATACCGCTTTTCTCGCTCTCTCTAAAATCAATAAATTTTAAAAAGGAGTCTCTGTGTGTTAATTTCTTGCCTAGTTTATCACTTTTTACATTTTTTTTGTTTGTTAATCTTCATCCAAGGATATTTTTTCCTTTTTTTTTAGAGAGAGAGAGTGGAAGGGAGGGGGAGAGACAGAGAGAAACATGGATGTGTCTCTCACATCGTCTGGTTGCCTCCAGCACATGCCCTGACCAGAGCCAGGATTGAGCCTGCAACTGAGGTACGTGCCCTTGACTAGAATCCAACCCAAGACCCTTCAGTCCATGGCCAACACTCTAACCAAGGAGCAAAACCGGCTAGGGCACTTTTTACATTTTGTAATAAATGGAGGCAAGTAGGCATACAAAACAAACACAATCATTGTTGCCAGAAGTGTTTGTATCCATGTTGATATTATTCCTTTGTTAAACAAGGGCCTTCGTGGCCAAAACGTTTTCTGAAAGAAAGGGTTTATTGGGCCATATGCTAGCCAGAAAAAGGACCAGATCCTGGGACATACTGTCTAAACCACCAGAAGAAGGGCTGGATGGAGGAGACAAACATGTCCGCTGTCCTGGAGCTGACGGGGCTCTTTAAAAGGTGAAGCGAGCCAGTTCTAGGATAGGAATGACACAGAGAAAATTCTGAGATGTCCTGAATTAAATTGCAGCTGTCCTGAGGGTAGAAGGGAGAGAGACAAGAGGTTCATCAGTTAACAACTGCATGGCAAAACCAACAAAAGACTGCTTACATTACTGAATGTTGAAACTTTGAATTAACTTCCAGGTGGCTATTTCTGCATTTATCTAAAGAGAATAGCCAGGAGCCAATGAACCTCCCCCCACCCCCCAACCCCAGGAGCCTAAGCTTCTTGCTTACGCTTGAACTTTCCAGACTGTTGCCCATAACCAATCCTAAAGAACAAACATGTTTTCCTTGCACTCTGCACCTATCCCAGAACTAGCCCCATTCACCTTCTCCCATCCCCTTCGTCTACAGCCAATGTAAATTCTTTCAAAACAACTTTCGTCTTTCTTCCCCTACTTGGTGTATAAAGAGCCTGTCAACTCCAGGACAACGGGCATGCTGCTTTCTCTATCTAGCCCTGCTGCTGGTGATTTAGACTTCATGTCCCCGTCTTGGTTTTTTTCTTGCTTGCATTTGGTTTAATAAACTCATTCTTTTAAAAAGCTTTCGGCCATGACAATTTTTTTGTTTAACAGGCGCATAGTCCATAGGAAGAAATATTTGCTGCTTCTGGATTGGATGTGGGCGATATTTATATTCCCCTTGGTTTACTAGGTCGACTGCCAGCAGCAAAGGAGTACTTCCGTACCCCTAACCTGCTCCTGGGTCCTGGGTCTCACATCTGGCTTGCTTCAGATGTCATGTGACCTCTCGGTATCTCTCCTTTCAAGGACACTCGGGCTGCCTCTTTAGCTCTCCCCTGGGACCAAAGACATTCCAGTCTCCCGGTGGGGGAGAGTCTGTGGCACAGAACAGCCTCCTTAGCAGTCATCATCTGTAAGAGCTGTGGGATGGCCAGCATGGCCGGCCTGTCCTCAGCGGGGGTACTTCCGTACCCCTAACCTGCTCCTGGGTCCTGTGTCTCACATCTGGCTTCCTTCAGATGTCATGTGACCTCTCCAGTCTCTCTCCTTTCAAGGACTCCCGGGCTGCCTCTTTAGCTCTCCCCTGGGACCAAAGACATTCCAGTCTCCCGGTGGGGGAGAGTCTGTGGCACAGAACAGCCTCCTTAGCAGTCATCATCTGTAAGAGCTGTGGGATGGCCAGCATGGCCGGCCTGTCCTCAGCGGGTGGTCTTGCAGCCCAACCGCGCTTTACAGAAAGACAGGACATATTTGGGATTGACTTTTCCTACGGAAACACAGAGGGCCTAATCCCTATCAGAAGCGCTGCCGCTTTGTGACGTCCCCACTGTCAATGACTGGAAAGGCTGGTGAGCAGCGCCTCCTAGCGGAATTCTGCAACCACAGGCAAGGGGTGGCTATGGTACAATAGTATTACCATCCCCATTTTACAATTCGGGAAACTGAGGCTCAGTGTATTTATTATCCCAGGTCACGTGGCTGATAAGTGGTAAATCCAAGTCTGTCTGATGAAAAATGAACTATGATCATCCTACAAAATCCTTTCCTCCGCTCAGCCTTCTGGTTTCTATCAGTCGCTGTGTGGTTGGCAGAGGGTGCTGTGAGGCAGCGCCTCCTAGCGGAATTCTACTGCAACCACGGGCAGGGGATGGCTTTAGTACAATAGTAGTATCATCCCCATTTTACAATTCGGGAAACTGAGGCTCAGTGTATTTATTATCCCAGGTCACGTGGCTGATAAGTGGTAAATCCAAGTCTGTCTGATGAAAAATGAACTATGATCATCCTACAAAATCCTTTCCTCCGCTCAGCCTTCTGGTTTCTATCAGTCGCTGTGTGGTTGGCAGAGGGTGCTGTGAATAGCTCGAGGCTGCTCTAGGGGACAGCTGTGAAGAACTAGGGTGCTGAAAATTAAAGGTAGCATAATGCAGGCCCTCTAACTCAAGGAGAGAAGGGACATTTACATAAATATAGATAGTTCCACTTCAGACAGCAGCTCGGTTCTAAGGTGAAAACCCAAGTGACTATTTTAGTTGTGTTTATAGGGCATGTTGTATGGGATAAGACCATTTTTTAAATATTAGAATCACATTCCACTTACCCTAAGAGACGATACTGAAAGAGAACTCCATTGAAAGAATAGAAGGTTTGGGGTCCCATCTCACTCTGCTCATATATGATCAGATGAGCGGAATCACTGGAAATACAGTCTCTCCCTTCCTCTTGCCGCTCTCTTTTTTATTCAACACACAGGTGAATGTATCAATGTTTTGCACACATTAGCAACTTCCCTCGATAACTCCAAACTGTGTGCGAAGCAGAGGTCCCCACGGAGCATTAAGAGGACGCATGCAGAACGACATCAACTCCATATAGGCAAGAGCTCATGGGGAGGATGTCTAAACTTGGCATTGAAGAATGTGTGACAGCAGTTAGAAAGCAGGAAGGTGGGGAGGGCATCTAGGAAGGACAACGTGAACAAAGACATGGGAGCCGGGATGTTCAGAGCTCATAATTTAGGAAAACGGACTGGTCCAGGGTCACTGGGTATGATTCTATGTGATGGGGAAAGTTGGTGAGAGTGGCTAGAAAGGAGTCTGGTCTCCTCTCTACAGCCAGGATCCTGTGTGAGCACATTCAAGGCGAAAGCCACTGCCTGGGCCTGGGGAATGAAAAATCTAATCACTAGGGGTCCTTAGAGGTCTTCTAAGAGCACTCCCCACCACCAGCAGGTATACCAGGATACCGGTTTCCCTAAATCTCCTTTATGGTATCCCTCCGTGTGGGAGGAAACCCACAGGGTAGAGTGAATGCCAGAGCAAGTGATTGAGCCTCATTTCCCTCAGGTGTAAGATAGGGCCTCTGACTGACTCTCAGAGCACATAGGATTGCTGTGAATGCCAAAGGTTAGGAGCACGCTTTGGAGCTACAGGGACTAGCTGTGAGGACCTTAGGTAATTACCTAACTTCACTGAGCCTCACATGCTCTTCAGTTATAATGGTTGCAATAATATTTACCTGATATGAATGATATGAGGGTTAGCGGAACTAATCAAAATGCGTAGCCAAAGCGTGGCATATTAAATACGCAGTAAATATTAGTTATCATGGCTGAGAAAATGAAACAGAATTACGGCAATAAATGATATTTCATTGTGTGAAAACACATGACTTGTTCCAGAAAGAGTTCTTGGGGGAGATTAGATAAATCGTGCAAATACATGCAATAAAAAATCACGGGGACTCTTGAACCGGCAAACACCTCCAACACCAACGGCCTCGCCTCCGACCAGCAGGCCCCGCCCCTCGGTT